TGGCAGCAGTACAAAGGAGCTGAAGGGGGAAGAGGAAAGGGAGGTGTTATGAACATGATTGTCCGTTGAAATTTTGTCAACGCTCACTCACAGGAACTCCCGTACACGCCCATACATGCACAGAAGGAAGGGGAGAGGTAGTGGAGTGTCACACCGCCCAACAGAAGAAACGCAGCGGAAGACTCGGAAGAGCGAAGTGACAGAATACACAACGCACTGGATTCTCTCCACAGAAGTCCCAACAATCATTCATAGAAGACAACCGAGAGATCACAGCCAGAAATCATCGAAGAGATGACAACTCAGACACAGTATTAAAACTGTTTATTAAACTCAGAGCATCGTTCAACTGAATAACCTCAGAACCCTGTTGCGCTACCCTCAGAAGGGTAGCGCCTCAACCCCACACACTCTGAACAGCTAAAAATAGCACCAGAACCCCAGGTAACACCCAGCGCCACCCTGACATCCAACTCAGTGGCCTGCGCCAGTATGAAACAGGCTCCCAGAGCCAATCGCCACTCAGACGATGAAGAAGAAGCCCAGCGCCAACAGTCTCTGATGAAGATGAAGTCCAGACGATGATAATCTCCGAGAAGATGCAGCTATGGCTGCATCGCCACTGGGACCCTACCCCTGAGGAGGGTCAGCAGTGCCCCACGTACTCCAACGCATCAGACCTCTAATAGCCCAGACCGCTTTCACTCCCAGAGAGTCAGAGCAGACAGCGTTGACCCCAGTCTGGTCAGCGCTCTGAAGGTCTGGATATGTCCGCTGTCTCCCGCACATGAATCAGTCACCACGACCTGATGCTGTGTGCGCAGCAACTCCCACCACAAAGTGTCAACTGCCAAAAGCCCTGGACCGATGCTCTCAACCTATCTATACTCTACCCTGGCCTAGACCGGACTGACTGACCGACCGGTACCGTTTCTGTTTCGGCCCCTTGGGCCTCTCCCTACCCGGCTATAGGCTATAGGACCGTCTATCAGCATAGGCCCTTGGGGACTGTCTGTCCTAGGGGTAGCCCAGATCTGCTATTCGCAGTTAGGGTAGCTGTAGGAAATTCGAGTTAGTACTGGGCCTATATTTTCCCATATTAACAGATATGTCCTTCACGAATTTTCATTACAGGTAGGTCTCTCGGTTAGCCCTCAGCCAAACAAAATTACGAATCTATCCCTACCTATGGTACAGCCTCGTCAGAGAGAGGCTACAGGCAACCTGGAACCAGCAAGTCATTGGAGAGGTGGAAGTAGACGAGGTGGTGGTTCGTTGGTCGTGGCGCTGCGTTAATGGGGCAAGCAACCAATGGCGCGACTTTGTGCATGCATGCACAAGTGTGCACGTGTACACGTGCCGAGAGCGACAGAGGTGAGCACTGAGCACTGCGGCAAGGCAAGAGCAACAGAGAAGGGCGATTTTCATCCCCCAATGACCGTGCTGAACGGGGTTGTGATAGTGACAATCATGCCACACACACACACACACACACACACACACACACACAGACCAAGAGAGAGAGAGAGAGAGAGAGAGAGAGAGAGAGAGAGAGAGAGAGAGAGAGGCGTGGAAGAAGGGGAGGAACACTCACCTTCGGCAACGTACTCCGAGGACGTCCAAGGCGGCGGCAGGTCGCAGTAGCAGAAGAATGAACTCCACGGTGGATTGCAGCAGTGGCCAGAACGTGGAGTGGAGTGCTGTTTTTTTGGGCGGCGGCGGCCTGGAAAGCAAGGAGTTTGAATTCAAATTCTTAGGGCCTCCCCGTTGGAGGGCATCCCAGGAGGATGCATCTATCGCGAAAGGGCAAATCGAACAGCCACCACGGGAAATGGGACCAGCGGTCCGGTAGGGGCATTCCCAAAAGTTGCGCCCCTTACTGACAGGGGCCTGCACGAAAGCTCAGAGGCCCCAGGGGCAAATCAGGGTAAGTCGGCCGTCGGAGGGGCAAAACGCAAATAAACGCAAACTTCAGGGGCATTTCAAAAAATTTCCCTTCTTTTTTTAACACTAAGTCCTGGTCCTACT